GCCGTTTCCGCACAGACCAGAGGTCTGGGTTGAAACTGTTAAATTCCCAGGAGCCGTTTCTGCACCGAGCACAGGTCTGGGTTGAAACTGTTAAACTCCAGGAGCTCACCCCTGAGGGTGAGGGATCATGGAGCGTGGCAGTTGGTGTCTGCATCACCCTGCCGTGGCAAGTGAAAGGCTGTTGCCGTTAGCCAGGAGCAGGGTGCTTGAACCCAAGCTCCAGGGCTGTGCTGCTACCTCATAGCTCCCACAGTGCTCCTCCAGATCAGTTATTTGTAGACACATGGTGCTTCTGTAGTTTTCTGTGCCTGGGGCTAGATCTCGCACAGGTGAGATGCTTGGCAGTCAGTCTGCCATTCACTTTCTTATCGTTCATCCTCAGAAGCTCTAAAATTTGCAGTCAAACCAAACGAGTAACTGTTTGTCTGCGAGGTGTTGCTGTGAACACCTCGCAAACCAACGGCTGTGAATTCTTGTAGATTGCACCTTCGATAAAGAGTTGGAGCTCACCCCTCTTGAATCGGCGATTGATGTCCTGGAGCTCATTCAGAGAGAATTTTCTGTGGCTGAGAAGACAATGGAAAGTCTTCAGAGAATGGTGAAGGAAGCTGTAAGACCCTTTTTTTTTCCCTCATAAATACTCTGTTCAGCCTTTGTCTCAGAAAGGTCTTGTGTAAATGGCAGTGGGGATTGCCTCACTTGTAGAAAACTGTCGTTAGGACTGATTTGGCTGCAGACTTGGCTCGTCAGCATGTTGCTGCTTCACCAGTTAATTGGTAGAAGTCACTTCTGTGTGTAAGTTGGTGTTAAGCTGTTACCAGCGTGCTGTGCTTGATTACGATAACGCGCTTTTCCAGCGCTGCTCTGGAGAGTGCGATTGGTTCCGTGTCAGCAGAGAAACCGGTATTTGTTTTCTTCTCTAGGCTGTCATCGTCTGCATCAAGAACGGAGAGTTTGAGAAAGCTTCAAAAATTGTCAAGAGGCATATGGGGAAGGAGTCCAAAACCCAGGTGAGTCTGCGCCGGTGTGAAAAGCGGTTGGTGCGATACGTCTCACGGGGTGTTGGCACTTGTGACCTGTAATGCAGGTGTTGAAAGGTTTTACCCGAGCGGCATGTCTTGGGGAAACCTGAACAAGAAGAAAGGGTCAGAGTGACAAAGTGGAGAGAGTTCTCTGTGAACGATGGACCCTCAGGTTACGTGTTTCTAGAGCATCTCAGTTGGCACTTGGAAGCTCCCTCTTACATTCCGTGACGTATCTTCACGGGCCTTCCAGGCAAACTCAAGCACAAGTTCCTATGAAAGGCAGGTTCCGAAAGCCAAACGCGTCCCTGTTCCTGTCTCTGTAGGCAGTCCTAACTGCGGAAACAAGGTGGTTCTCCTCTTCCTCCAGCCTTTTCCCAGCCTTGTGTCAGTGTAAAGAAGTTGTGCCCAGAGGATGTCGAATAGAAAAGGCCAGACCCCAGCTTCTGCGGTTGTCCTTTACACCGTTGTATGTATTCAGAGCATTTTTACCCCTCTCCTAGAAAAAGAGGAACGAGCTGTTGGCTGTCATCCGGGAGAAGAACTCTGATCATCCAACAGTCCAGAACTTCTCTTACAAGAACTTCCAGCAGAACGTGTTTCAGTTCCTGAAGGTTTATGTGGACGATTCGGAGCCGTTGCTGCTGACGGTACGCGCCTGCCCTGCTTTTCCAGCTTCCACCCTGTGCTCGCTTCTGCCCCAGCGGGGGGCAGAGGAGCATGGCACAAGGGGCAGATTTGGGGAGAACTGACACTTACTTTGCCACGTGGCAAAGAAATACAGTAATTTGGCTTCTGTGCAAGTAACAAGTTAAGAGTTTAGGCACCTAATTAACGGTGGGTTGAATCTAAAATATTTTAAATGGAGTTTGTTCCTAAGAGGTTTATGCGGTTTTTCCATGGGTGTCACAAGTTTTAATGGATAGGTGTGAACCATGAGTCTGAACCGCAAGTAGTGGCGTAAAACACCTTTGGGAGGGGATGAAAACCGGATGGCAGCGCGAAGAAACATCCTCATAATGGTTTTGTGCTTTCTTTTCTATCCAAGTTAATGAAAAAGACTTTGAATTCAGAACATACCAGAAAACGAAAACACTCAGTGGCGACTCCTGAGCCTGTAAATGGGCCAAAAGACCAGGCAGAGACTCTGGAGCCCTTGGGAAGGGAAAAGAGCCCAGCAGGAACTCCAGAGCCTGCAGGACCAGCAAAAGACCAGGAGGGAACTCCCAGCCCTGCAGGACCAGCAAAAGACCAGGAGGGAGCTCCCAGCCCTGCAGAAGCAGGAAAAGACCAGGAGGGAGCTCCCAGCGCTGCAGAAGCAGCAAAAGATCAAGAGGTCGCTGCCAGCCCTGCTGAAGGCTCAGACGGCCTCGCGGCAGCTCCTGAACCGATGGAAGATGCTCCTGACCCAGCAGCAACTCCTGAACATCTAACAGCAGCCACTGACATCCTGGAAAATTCTTCAGAGCCTATGGAAATATCTGAAAAGCCAGCAGCAGCTCCAGAACAGCCCAGAGAGTCCTTCAGGGGCTCGGAAAGGTGGGCAGAGGAACCTGGCTCTGCGTTGTGGATGGAGTGTGACAGCACTTCTCTTCCTGAGCGGTAGTTTACTCTGTCGAGGCAGCTTTTAACTTCCCCGAACACCAGCCCAATCAAGCACCCCAGGCTATCACTATCTGGATCACAGTAAAAATGTTTAAAATGTTGTTTGTTTGATTGGTTTTTTTTGAAGGCACCTAGTACTTCTGTAAGCTAGGGAGGGCGGGCGGTGGCTCCTAGAAGGTTTGCTGTCACAGAACCTGTTTAGGGGCAGGGTGTGCCCTCCCCAGTAGATGTTATTTGCACCCTGGGGTTAGTTGTGGAGGGTCTGATTTTGGTGAAGTGGAGCCACCTCGGTGATATCTTTCCCAACCTGCTCAGTTCTGTTTATTTTGTAGGCAGCCCTCCGGAACTGTAACCACCTACGGGATTTCTGTTCTGAGAGAAGCTTTCAAGATCCTGTTGGACTCCCAGGATTCCAATGAGCTCTTCACAAAACTGGATGAAACAGACTTTTCTTACCCCAAGCAACTGTCTCCTTCTATATCCCACAGAACCAAGAGACGGCACGAAGAGGAGAATCAAGATTCTGAGATCTCAGACCCTCCTGAAATACCCCATAAGGGCAAACGCTTGTTGACCATAAGCAAACTGGTCATGGGGCAAGACAGTCAGTTCGGCGAGTCGAGTGAGAGCCCAGACTCTTCCCAGGAGCCAGTTGTATCTTCTGCCTCCAGACCCGTTCAGAAACCGCAAGGCCAGCCCGAACCTCCTAAGAGTGTCAAGTATGAAGCCCGTCTCTTGTGGTATATTCTAACCTGCACTCGATCTTTTGGCTTGGAGCTGACGAGCGGTAGCGCGAGAAACAAAAATCTTGATCCGTGCGTGCGTTGACGGTTAGCGTACATGGAACCGGGCAGAGTAAACGCTCTCCTGTCCTTCTGCTTTGCTGTTTGGGTAACAGGGAGGAGAGAACGATCCGGCTTGCACAGGCAGTGAGTCGGGCACTGCGATGAGCGATTCCAGTGTGCATCTCGCAGGTAACGCGTGCTTCTCCAAGCTCTGGTTAGCGGTGCTGCAGATGGAAAGAGATCGTAGGGGCATCCTGCAGAACAGATTAAACTCTCCTTTCTTGGTTAAGAAACTCCCTGGCTGTAGTTTTCTGCCTGTTGATGAGTTGTCGCTTTCATTGTGCCTGAAGTGACTGTGGCAGGAGGTAGGGATATGTTAGGGGTTTTCCTTTTTATAAGGATTGCCCACAGAAAATGGCAAAGTAGGCTTACTGGAAAAGTCTAAAATTAACGCTGGTAAGAGACTTGTATCTCCTGTAGGCTGTAATGAGGGCAAACAGAGCTTCTTGCTTAAATGTCTGTAGCTGTTCTTTTTTGCCTAGTAAAGTTGCATGGCAGCAGGAAATTCTAGTTAATAAACGTCAGGCTGACACTGGCTCGAGCAGTTCTCGAGTTTTTGCTCTGCTGCTGAGCGAGCTCGTTCCCATTTCAGCTGGAAAATGATTTCTTGCCTGCGCCACTCGTGTGGGTCTCTTGTCTTGAAGCCTGTACGTGTCAGGGCTTGTGGTAGAAGCGGTGCTAGTGACATCTGTCTGGAAATATCATCATGTGTGGCTCTGCTGGTAGCTAGTTCTCAAATGTTTACATGCAGGAAAGAGACAGCTTGAAGTTAGACTTAGAGATTATTTTCCTGTGACGATAAACAGCTTCATTTACATGGGATGTGACAGCCAGGGGTGAACCTTGTGCAGACTGAATTTCATCTCGCCAAGTTTGTGCTTCAGGATTGGAAGGAGGAGCCAGCCTCGAGGCACTCGATCGCACCAAGAGGCCTCTGTCGCTTGGTTGACCTTGGTAGTGTTGGTAGTGAAACAGCAAGAATGAAACGCGGCTTGGGAAGGCTGACGGCTTCTCCTCTGAGCTGTTGGCAGGTCTGTGCCGCACACAGAGGCCTGGGAAGTCCAGCTGTGTGTGCGTGTTTGCTCCAAGTGCTTAATTGTTGTGAATGCTGGCTACAAAATAAAATGCTTCTTGCCTTGCTGTGATCCAAGTGTCCCTGCACCTTCTCCCTTTAAAACATTCTCCCTTGCCAGCAGCCAAAGTAAATACTTGCCTGCTTTCAGGTCCTTCAAAGGAAGGTGGAACAGCTCGTATGGTGAAGAAGAAAAGGACAGCTGGAGTGACGAGGACGAGCTCTTTGCAGATGCGGGTAAGAAGAGAGTTCCTGTTGCAGGTGTTAATTGATGATAGTCTTGGCTTCAAGGCTTGTTTACTGGTGTCTTGAATTTTGAAACCACACATCCCACAAGCCCAAGAAAATCGGTAGCTGCCCAGCTGCAAAATGTTCGTTCTTTGTACCTCTGATGTGAAACGCATGCCCAGAAGCCCTCTTCAGGTTTCAGACTAATGGTGCTTAGCTTACAGGCTGTAAATATTGGAAACACAGCTCCTTCCCCGATCCCACTTTGGCACCATGAAATAAAGGTTTTAGTTTCCCTTTTCAGCTAGATCAGTTTTTCCAGTGGAGGCCCCTTTGGAGCCAGATACGCGGCTTAGCCGGTGAAAGGGAGGAGACAATGGGTGTCTCATTCTAGCGTGGCTGCATCCTGGATGGACGCTCCCGTTCGTGACATATTGGCTGGTTGAAAACAAAACAGATCTTGTCAGAAAGCTTTCACATAACACAGTTGGGGCTTGAAACAGAAAGGCTGTGCATGCTATAGCTGCAGAAAAGGGGTGGATAAAGGAATTGGGTTTTCCTGTGTGGCGCGGGATGCTCTTGTGGGCTGGCTGCTCCGTTAAGGCCGAGGAGGTCTGCACCTCCTGAGTTAGAGTGAAGTGTAACCCTCTTGCTTTGCTTTTCAGTGCCGTTAGAGACAAACAGCCACAACAGCACGATCTTTGGGTCCAAGAAACAGGTAACGTAGAGCCCTTGAGTCTTTTCAGTAACACCTGAAATCGGGATGTGTCCGTATGTACAAGCAAACTAACAAACAATTTGAAGTAACGTCGGTGAGGATCGCTGCTCGGCTCCCTCAGCAGCCTGTCATTCACAGGCTGTGCTTTGTTGCCCACGTGTTGGAGTTTCAGCTTCTTATTTTGAGTGAGGGACACATGCACTGGGGAAGAGGTCCTGACTTTGGTGCTAGTAAATCCCACTCCTGCTCACAGGAGGATGGTGGGCCTGGCGGTGCTGGGTTAACGGTTGGACTTGATGATCTTAAAGGTCTTTTCCAGCCAGAATGAGTCTGTGATTCGGAGATAGCTGCTGTGCTGCATGACATAGCACTTTGTTCCCAGTAACTGCTTTCTGCTCTTACTTTACATTTTCCCTCCAGTAAAAAAGTTTAGGAGACCTGAACTTCCAGATTTTATTTTTATTTTTTCTTAACGTTCGACTCGTGTGCTGTCAGGCGGGGCGTAGGCAGGGAGCACTTTGTGCCTCTGATACTTGCTGTCGCATCAGAAGGTAACTCCTCTTTTACGTGGTTGGTATCACGTGTTGGAAAGAGAACTGCTCCTGAGCTTGTGTGCGAGGTGAGCGCCTTTCTCCTTCGTAACAGCGATGAGAGTGTGTCTGATGATTTGGTGTCATGTGTGCTGTCGACAAGACACCTCTGCCTCTCCTGCATGACTAGCGCAGGTGACAGGAGCTCACACACCAAGAAGGAGCTCTGGTGCGGTTCTCTGCCAAGCGCAGCTCCTCCCTGGACGCACCCTCTGTGCTCACAGCGCCCTGCTTGCTTCCTCTTTTTGTAGAAGTGGACGGTACAAGAGAGCCAGTGGATCAAGGACGGCGTGAAGAAGTTTGGAGAAGGCAGGTGGAAGGCCATTTGCCAGAAATACCCCTTCCAGAACCGCACGGCGGTGATGATCAAGGATCGCTGGCGGACCATGAAAAAGCTTGGAATCCTCTAAAGCTGGGACCCACAAGACCCTCGGTGCAAAAACCTGATTTTTCTTTTCAAAGAGGGACTGGAACTCTAGCAGCAGGGAAGGCTGCGCTGCAGGGGCTGGCATGGCGAGGCCTTCCAGCTCGTGGTACCCAAGACTGCTGCAGCAGATGGAAACCGCATGTGAGAGAAACCAAGGAACCTCGTGGCTCGAGTTAGAGCTGTGAGGTTTAGGTCTTATGCGCTTGGCAGAAGCGGCGCAGCCCATCACAAGTGCTTAGAAACAGCCGGGACTGGGAGTTTTCCACTCGACGGCTGCAGCCTTTGTAGAATGAATCCCAACCTGACAGGCTGCTGCAAAGACAGCTCGCTCTGCCCGGGTGCTCTCAAAGGCAGGATCATCCTGTCAGGGGCTATTTTTATGTGTTTTAATTGTCCACGCTGTGAATCACTTCATTTCAAACGTTTGCACTTGGTCCCTTGTGGAAGAGAGGCAGCACCTTGCCCCAGAGCTTCTGGGAAGAAGAGATTTGGCAAAGCGATATGCTTACATTTGTTTTCTTTTTTTCCCCCCACATCTCTCTCTGCTTTGTAAATGACTAATCTTGTCAGTATGAACTTCCTCCCAGCTCTGAGGCTTTAAAAACTTTTTTTTTTTCGGTTCAGTACTTAAATGTTGGTAGTTCCCATGTTTAAAGTTCCAGTGCTTGGTGTCGGTTGTGTTCTTCCCGACGCTTCTCCTGCGTGTTGGCCCCTGCAAGGGCATGAGCTCCTACCGCACTGTTCCTGCCTTTGGGTGCCAAAGCTGGGCTCTCCTGTAACAATAAAATTTCTTTCTTGTTGGATTTCAAGAGTTGTTTATTGAAGTGTGAGCTTGGACCTCGTAGGTGGAAACGTGGCCGTTTGGGGCTCTGCGTGCTCGCTCGGCAGCCTCTCGTGGCT